AATGAATCTCGTTTCGATTGTCCTTTAATTGGAAAAACTCTCTTATGCCCTTGCGGGTGTAGGTAAAAAGGAGGTGTGATACCTACCAGAGCAAATAGGACCCGAGTATCCTCCGGGATCGTGAGAATAACCGTCCTATTATGCTCAGGGTTTGCACTTGGTGTAAGGGATTGCATTATCAATCGCGGGCTCATGCTCGGCCCATCAGCTCCTGAAGACATCCTTCTTCGATATCTCCAGGGGCCCAACCGGGAGAAATATTCCAGTGTTGACATATCCATGCCATCGAAGAAGGAATAGAAAGTGTCCTCTACACCTTTTGCTCCCTCGCTTGATTTGTTTTTTTGCTCTCTTGGGCCTCCTCGATCATAGAATCAGTGTAGGATGATACTTCAACAATGTCAATCACATCGGTCACCTCCTTCAAGGCAGGAGCAGTTTCTTAAGAAGTGGCAGCCCCATCTCCACTTCGGTCTCTAGGACCGAAAGGGGCTCAACCTCGTGGCCCACCTCCACGGTCGTCGTCTGTTCCACGGTAGGGGTCGATCCGTGGGAGACAAAGATATCATCCTCTTCAGGCTTATCCCTCAGTCGGTAAAGCAGGTCGGAGTTCGGTACCTGGGACCCGGTGTTCTTCTTACGATTATGAGCCCGAGTGGATGACCTCTTTTTCATCTTCATCTCAGGCCCCTCTGAGCTCGAGGATTTCCTTTTTCTCTTCTTATCCTCTGCAGCAACCCAGGGCTGACCTGTAACGTAGAGATCCACGGATAAGGACATATCCTCCTCCCCTTCCAACGGCCTAAGTTTTATGGTCTTAGGCAAACCTGTGAAAGAAAGAGGAGAGATCAACATTATATGAGTTTAAAGCGTAGTGATAGCTATTCGGAGGGGAAATTTACCATGAGAACAGGCCTCCCATCGGCCCTTCGAAGGCTTGTGCCATGAGCGTTCGAAGTATAACATCTGCGTACAGATGCCTTCGATTCACTCCTTGAGCCGGGGGGCCGTATTAGGGACCCGAGCAACAGCTGCACAACCACAATACCGATAATGAGAGAGGAAACAAAGGAGATTTGACACTTAAGAAAAGACTACACTTACGAGATGCATTCCACTTCTAGGGAAATGGTAAAAATTCAGGAGGGATCAAATCCTTAGTTTTTACCCGAACAAAGCGCCCCTACCAGCCTCGGTCTCGGTCTTCGTCGATGTTCGAAAAGGGAGCCTTGCTGGCCTGGTGAGTAAGCTTGATTAGTCCACCTCGGAAAATTCGGGTATTGTATAAACGGAGTAGGTGGTCGAGGTTAAACGAAGGAGACTCGGTGTTATTCGCAAAGTAATGAAGGAGGATTACGATCCTCCATAGAGAAGGGTGGATTTTACCGAGGCACACTTCGTACCTCTTGCAAAAGGCCAAAATTACCTGGTATACCGGGCCCAGCTTAAAGGGGTAAATGTAGACACTTAAATACCCCTCTACGTGGGTAGTGATATCGTCCTTCGGCCGGGGGACTACCATATCTTTGCCTTCCCATTTGCAATCCTCTCGGACTGTGGGAAGGATATCTTCCGTAATGGAGCATATGTATCTCCATGCCCTTTCACCCCGGTCCTGTTTGGAGGAGGCTTTATTGACTTTAAAGTCGTCTGCGATTGAACATCCCCCCAGGGATAAAGCTTTTCATAGGGGGCTCTGGAACCGCTTCAGCAACGACCACCTTGGGAGCGGCCGTATCGAGAGTAACCACCTTGGCACCCGTGTTCGGGTGGAAAGATAAAGAGGCAACCTGCTGAGGAACTAATTTAGATTTCTTGGCCATCGTAATCCTAGAAAATATATAAAGATTTGAAGAAAGTGTATGAAGATTTAATGTTTAGAAGTGAAGATATGAAGTCCTCGGTTGAAAATTCAAGAAAATGTATGAAGATTTGAGGTTAAAGATGGAGATATGAAGGTTCAAGAAGTGAGGTATGGAGATTTGAGGAAGTCAAAAGCCTTTGTGGAGTTCGAAAATCAGAAAGTGTATGAGGGGGGAGAGCTTTTATAGAGGAGATTAGCGACGCTTCGCATTCGGAGGCAACCAGTCGTTAAACGATATGTGTCCGAAATCAGAATGATGTGACTGATAAGACTTTTCGTCTTATCTCCATCTCGGTCGTAACGTACGACGGAAGGAACCGGGGTTCATCTATCATTTTTCATCATTTCGGTGAACCTATTCTCTGAAAAATGAGATGACTATCTGTATACGGGTAAAACCGGGGCTACTGAGCACCCTGATTTCTCGGTTACTCAAACAAAGCAAGGATATAACTATATGAAATTGGAATCGAAGCTCGGTATTTCTCGTATTAAGGCCCGAACGGAGTATGTGCTACCCTCCTTCATAAGCCAACCTTTCCCCGACCCCAGAATGAGCTCCTAGACCTTGGAAAGCACTGCGAATTGTTATAGAAGACTAACAGGGGGCCGTGATATCCGCATCCGACTGGATATCACGGTGCGAATCTCGCCCGATGCCAGTAACGTATCAGTAATTGATGTACAAGAAGGATTTTTACCTTTTTTAGAATTGTACTAAAGGTAAAGCTCCCCTACTATATAAAGGGGAAGTTTATTATTCAATGGACACTGTGTAACACGCATATCAAGGCATTACAAACTTGTTTTTTCTGCTTCTTTGTTATTGAAAAGTTCTTATTTTAACTGTAGTTCTTCATACACGTTTGGTTCCGAATCGAGGACAGAGCAATTGTTAAGCTTAGAATCTGAGCCCGAACTCAATATCACAACTGATTTGGTTATTTATTTTATCTCTAATTCATTTATCTAACATTCTTAATCATTTATATTGAATCAACCCACATATCATTTAAATCGCGTATAAATTCAATTGTTATCCATTTTTAGGGGTAAACACACTTCTTTCTAAAAATTGAGGTTTCCTTTGAAGTTGTTCATGGGGTTAATTGGATCCCTGCAAAATTTAAGATCGTAATATAAAAATCTGGACGAGCTAGTTTGGAGGTCCTTATGTACCATTCTTTTTTTCTTTTTCTTTACATTTTTAATCCAGATTCTTGGATACTTTTGAAGGTAGCATGTATTATTTATCAAACAATTCTAATGAAAATCGACCCGCATTTTGCATATAAAACATCTTGGGCATAAAGATGAAACAACGCATGTGGTTGTATCACGGGCGCATTGACGGATCTACATGTTATTTTTGGGCGTTCAAGTATCCATTATTTTTGACAAAATTTAGTAAATTTGTATAGGTAATTATAAAAATATTTAAATAAATATTGAGCGAGTACCCATAACTAAACTCTTTTTTCTTCTTCTTTCAGAATATTTATAGCACCTGCGACTTTAAAATTCTGGATCGGTCTCTCAGTTGCATGTTTTGATCAGTATGAGGCGTTATCGATCACTGATTGGATAGATATTGGCCTTGAAAACCAAAATGTAAAATTAGGAAAGGATGATAGTGCAGTCACTTATTATTCTACTGTGAACAGCTTGAAATTGATGTCAAAACTTTCCTACGTACTCCTGTTAATCAAACAAGAAACAGTCATTTTCCATCCCCCCAAACTTCGTACTCATAATTTTCTCCTTGTACGTTAAACTAAAGTCGTTTTCCCATTCCCGCCCACCTGTTCCATGTAATGTCCTTTTTGTCCTTTAAATTGTCAATCAACTCTTTTTGTATTATATAATAGAAATAATGCTCCCTCCATTTTATTTTATATGAAGTTGTTTGAGTGTACACAAAATTATTTTTAAAAATGGAGTTCTGAAATTTATGGTTTAAGCATATTGTGTTATGTGGCCACAAAATATACTTTAAGGTGAATGTAATAATTAACATACATTAAAATTCTAATAAATAAAATAAAAATGATAAAAATATAATTGCTCGTATCAATAAGTTTGTTAATGGTCAAAGCTCAAAATTTTATCTAAAAAGATTGCAAATAAATGAAGGGGACTCAAATACATCAATACATTACTAAAAATATCATTAGATTTAATTAATAAAATCATAAAATACACCTAATCATCTATTTTATGCATTGAATTAATTAAGAATCATAATTTGGAATAAGATACTAAATCATTTGAATTATGTATTGCTTGGACAGAAGGAAGAAAAAGTCAATTTTATAAATTGATAAACTGATTCGACCAAAAGACTCATGAGATGAACTCATTCGAAAATGTCTATAATCTAAAATTAAAAAATATTTAAAACAACGTTGATAATATAAGTTCACCCTTAATCTAACTGAAATAATAGAACAGAACAATCTTTCCGTTTCTTGCTTTCTCTAGAAGGATCATAGTCGTTCAAACATGTCGGTTATTTGGCTAATCAATTACACTATTAATTTATCGATCTTTCAGTTTCATGCTTTCTCCAAACAGAGCTTACTCACAAGCATGTCTGATTTTGGCTAATCCATTAATATTACTTTATCATAATCAATTTCTTTCAAACAAAAATAAAAACAAATTGTCCAAGCATTCCAGATGCATGGTGTGGCCTAACATCATGCGCTGTTGCAAGCTAGCTCCTCTATGGTCAAATTTCAATTTTCTTTTATTTCCAATATGGTCCCACTTTCATTGAATTAGTCGGTTTTGGCACCAGAAAAGTCAACAAGGAAAACTTCAGTTTGTTAAGTGTTAACTTAATTAGCAGCAAAATTTCAACCCTCACACACCATATAGCGTACGCAAATTTTGAAAAATTAAGGCCACACACCACAGTTATGTCACCAAATGGAATTAATTAACTAGCTTGCCAACCAAATTATTTAATCCATCCTTGTTACACTACATTTAGGAATTCGCTAGTACTAGTTCTTCCTTTCTTCATCTTCAATTCAATCTCTCTCCTCTCTTTTTTAATTACCCCCGGCCATCTGGGAGCTTATTTTTCAATAATTTCTCTTTGTAAGTTTATAATTTAGCCATGTTTAGAGCAATGAGTACACGAAAGGGTTATAAAGGATATGAGGAATTGATAAAGGAGGAGGAACCGTCTGCTCCACTAGTAGAGCCAAAGTTGATCAGAAACAGAAGTGTTCCGGTAGCTAAAATCTTTAGTCCGTCGAAGAAGGTGACGTCGGAGCAGAATTTTCCGGCGACTCCGGAAGCGAAAAAGGCGAGCAAGATTCATCCAATATTCAGTCTTTTTGAAACAAAGAAGAAGAAGAAGGCAACTGCAAGGCCTGAATTTTCGAGGTACATACAGTATGTTAGAGAAGGAGGTTTTGGAGATGTGTTGCAGACGACTCTTCCAACTCCAACTCCAACTCCAACTCCAACTCCAACTCCAACACCAACACCAACACCAACACGGCTGTAAATTAATTGCTTTAAGAAATTCGTATTTTGACTTTATGGTTTGAAAAATCAATCATACGAGTAACATTTAATAATTCATACCATGTGCTCTTAAAGTTCCTTACAATATACTCTATGGAGCATGATGATATTAATTCTTGTCAGCTGCATCTCATCATGAAAGTTGTTATAGATTAAGATCTTATCTCATTTGTTTTCTTTATCTTCCTTTTTCGGAGATTCGGGTAAACTGTTGTAAATGCAAAGCTGATTTTGCAAATGTCACCAAGGCAAGATTTTTTACCAAAAGGACTCAAAAATTAAGGTAATCACCTGATAAGTTAAGGAGTTTAACATCTCATATATATATACATAATTAAAAAGAAAATTTAATTAATTGATCTTAGATACGCAATATAAGTTTCTTTTGATCTTAGATACATATAAAAAGGTTCAGATGAATCTGATCTTCCACCAATCTTACCTGGAAATTAATATTGATAATGCACCAAGCCGCAGGTTGCTGATTTGGCCTGCCGACCTGTTAGGTATCATGTTTTATATTTTCTTTTTATCTTTCTCCAAGGGAAGAGTTGAAGGGAACATGGGATAAACTTTGGATCCGTGAACTTGATTGCATAAACGAAACGTAGGATAATATTCATTTTTCCTTCTTAATTTATAAATTAAAATGAATCTTTTCATTTTCTCCGCTTTGCTCCACCGCCCTCTTTCCTACTTTTTAATTTTTTTTTATTTCTCACCCGTATTTGATATTCACATTGAGACTCGACTAAATTCGGATTTGCACAAAAAATTCCTAAGTTCCTATACGTACAAACCATATAAATATCATAAGAAAAGATTCCTTTTAGAAGGGGAAGAAAGGGGAAAATTTCACGTAAGAACAACTGGGTTGCCTACTTTTCAGTTTTATAGCCCATATTTCAATTTACAACCAACTAGCCCAAAATTAATAGGCTAATATACTCAACATTCAACTCCAATAGATTCTTGAAATTACTATTTCATTTTTAAAAAAGATTGCTCAAGCTTTTAAGTTAATTTTTGAATCAATAACTGTGACTCAAATATTGGTTCAACAAACCAAATCCATTTGGGTGGTGAAAATTAGATTTTTAACAATCTTAAATATGTGGGTTTAAATTTCGAATTTGATTTTGTGAGAAATTTAGAGTGAGTGTTATTTAGACTTGTTAGAAATAATATAAGGAGGTTGTATATAAAATTTGAAGTCATTTAATGGAGATTTGGACTGGTTTTGAACAAAAATTGTAACTGAAAATCATGAAAAAAGTTCATCTACAAACGTTTGTATAAAGGTGTATAAAAGTGTATAATAGTGTATAAGATGTGTATATACACTCATATACACTATTATACAAGATTATACAAACAAAATGACTTCGTCTTCTACCTTGCGTCTTTTCTGAAATTTAACTCAGATCTTGTTCAAATCTACTCCAAATCACTTCAAATTTAAATTTTGAACTCCTTTTGATATTTTCAATCAATTGGAACAACAACTAACAAACTCAAAAAATCCTATTTTAGAAACCAAAGCTTTGAATGGCCTTCAAAGGTGGACTTCTGCTCTTCAATTTTCTGACATTACAAATAGGGGGAGAAGCAGAAAATACACGGTCCATTGAAGCATATATAGAAGATGTAAGAAGAAGAGATATTGAAAGCAATGGTTGTGAGATTTAACTCCATAGCTTTTAGAAGCAATGGTTGTAAGAACACATATTTTGAATTTGCTAATCTATACTATATTAAAAGTACGAAGGCCCTTAACGAAATGTCGTTCGCTTTTTTTACCATTTAAAAAATATTTTATACTAGACAAAATAGTAATTTACTTATCTTCCTAATATTTAGGACTTCTAAATCAAATAAAATCTTATTTATTATATCTTTCCGTATTTGGATTCTGTAGAGAATAACTTTAAAATTAATTAAAATTTTACCTTATATAATTATTTACTTTAATTATGACACAACTATAACTATATTTTTTCTAATATTTAGGGAAAAAAGGAATAGAATATGCGAATTATTGCCATAAATCTATGTTCAATTATTGGCCAAAATCGCTTAGCTTGAAAATCAATATTATATTAAAAGGAGAGTAGTATGCATTGTGGTTAAGCCAAGTGGTAAGCTAAAATGAAG